CATGTGTCATTACTCATTAACAGCCTAATAGCTCACACATAACTATACCACAGCGTCATCTGCAACTCCTCCAACCGTCGCAATCCTCCCGACACCCGCCCCAGCGCATCCGTCAGGAACGCACTTCGCGTTGACCCCGGCTGGGGAGCCGACCACGTTGTCCACCCTCGCGACATAGCTCGCTGGAACGTAGTCTCCGCATGAGTGTCCGGCCCCAACGGCGCCAGCTCCACCACAGCCTCCGGCCCCAATGACAACAGGTAATTGATCCATTCATGCAGCACAATCATGCCCTGATTGCGCTCCTGAGAAATACCGGCATTCTGGAACACGCCGAACCGGCGGGCACGCTCGGTCTCACCGCGCAGGAATCCCAGCATGTACTTCAGACACGTCCATACCTCGTCCATGTCTTGCATTTCGCTCACCGAGAGGCCTCCGGGATTGCCCTCCCCGAATCCCGGCGGAGGGTCGAACAGGATGCTGACTACGTCCTTGGGGTCGGGACACGGCTGGAACGGGGATCCAGTTTCGCCACGCAGCCAGCTGACTTGTCCATCCATGTCTGTTTCTCTGCCCGTCTGCCTTCCGAACAGGTAGCAGAAGGTCCAGACGCGCCAGATGGCGTTATCTAGCCGGCGGGCTTCTGGACCGGACGGACGGGCAAGGGCAGTGTATGAGCTGGTGCGCATGACTCCCCTGCAGTGGGTCATCATCAGGCCTTTGAGGGTGGCGAGGGCGCGGAGATCGCGGGTCACTGCACGGTAGTAGATCGTTGCAGGGGGTAGGTCCTGCGACTCTGTGTTTTCATTGATATCACTTATTTGACGGAGTTCCCATGCTGCAGGGGATCTGCGTCTAATGGTGTTCTCCATCAATGGGAGTTCGTGGCGTTTGAAGATGTGGTAGATGGCTTTGCTGGTTTGAGCGAAAGAGAAGAGGTCATCCAGATCGTCAATCTGAAGGAGGATATTCAAAATCATGTCTTCCATGCCAGGCTTGGAGAGGCTCCATCGGTTGGATACCATGCGCTGCAGGTCGTCGTCCAAGGCGGCCATGACTGCGGCGAATGGCGGAACGGAACTGCGTGGCTCTGATATTTGATCAGGCGCAGGACCTGTGAAAATGCGCACCGAGGGTGCACCTTCAGTGAAAGCTTCATCCTCGTCATACCCAACGTATTCCCAGTTACTTTCAGTGTCGTCACCTAACGTAGGCCGTCGAATTGGCTTGTCAAACAGCTGGCTCATCGGCCGGTCAACCGGCTGATCGGCTGTCTCAGAATCCTGGATATCCTGCGGAGGGAGTTCGCATGTGTGGTCCGGGGGCAGGGAGGAGTGTGAAGTCGGTGGGGGTGAGTTAGAAGGTACAGTGTCGACACCAAGAAGTGGCTCGTTCTGAACCCGCGTGAAAAGGGATCGGAGAAATTGCTGATTGGATTCTGCTTGCAGGATCATATCCATGGTATACCCATCTTCGAGCAAGCTCGCGAGGACATTTTTCATTCGCTTTATGGCGTCTTCGTAGTGACCATCATCTTCCTTGCCGTCCAGGAAACCTTGACCATTGTCCTCCGGTGGACGCTGAATAGGTGGTATCGTCGACATGCGAACAATGATTGATGCTCTGCGGACATTCTGGTACTTGTTCTTCTTCGTTTTGCTGTGCTTGAGCGCTCCACCATCGTGGGAAACGGCTTTACGGGTTAGGACACGCCGTACACCTGCCTTCAATGACTGCCACAGGGGCTTTTCGTCACTTTCTGGTTTCATTTCCTGTTTTGACGTCTTCTTCACAGGCTGTTTCTGCTGGACCTGCCGGTCCGTCGGACTTGAGGGTTTCGGCTGATGACCGTAGCCCTGATTGTTCGGCGCGGGCGGCAAGTGTTCAGCTTTGATACCAAATACTTGCGGCCACTCAGGAGCATCCCTGGGCCCTTTCCCAACCGCCGAAGAGCCGATATACCCTGGCGCATTCTCATACCTAAGGTTCGAGGCCGCTCCTGTATCTGGAAAAGCCACTATAGGTCGCGGGGTGGTGGGACGGGGAGCTGTAGATCGGGGCGTGGAGGGCTGAATGGTAGGTAGAGGAGTCACGGGTCTGGGGGTGGTAGGTCGAGGGGTTGCTGGTCGGTAAGTCATAGACGGGGGTGTCATAGGCCGCGATGTTGCAGCGAAGGGTGCTGCTGGGGGAAGAGGTGTTGTAGGTCTGGATGTCGAAGACACTGGCGTCAGAGGACGTGGCGTTATAGACCGAGGAACTGCACCATAGGGCGCTGCATGAGGTTGAGGTGTGGTTGGTCTGGATGTCGAAGATACAGGAGTTATAGGACGGGGCGTCGTGGGTCGGAGTGCTAACGGCTGAGGCGTATAGCTCGTAGGGGACTCTCTGAGAGAGCTTTGCCCGCCACTTGATCTACCAGATCCTCTCGAATGCGCATTGCCACTTACTCCAGGAACGGGGGGTAGAGGCTTGAACCTCCACTCGGACGCTGATGGCGAGCGCGTCGCAGAACTCGCGCTAGATGTGTATGAATAGCAAGGGCTGGGTGGGCCATATTCATCGGCTCTTGTCTTGGGTATGTGTAGATGTGGCACAGCCAATCTGTCTGCTGAGTCCCATGTCGTTTCCAACCCCGCGAGGAGTAGTTTGTCGTCAACGTCTGGGGACGGCATTTTCAATTGCTTGGGTTGGGTGCGACCCGCGCTATCTTCAGTGTGATCCTCAAGGATATCGTTTGGGAGAAAATAGAGAGTCGACCTGGAGGAGGTGAGGCTGTCCACTGACTTTATGCCTTGTGGGTTGCTGAACGGGGCGCGTGGAGGGGCTATTGGAGATCTGCAGCGAATGGGTGCATAGGGACCCGAGGTATAGTCGGACATGGTATGCAGGGCGATCATGTAGAATCACCGCTATAGGTCCAGAAAGGTCCAGAAAAAAAGGTCTATAATAGACTGGGGAGGACGGACAAGGGTGATATACGTCGCAGCCTGCGGATGACATACCCCTGGTACTCGGTTCCGACTGATACGCAAGCCCACCAGGGCTTGAATCCTGAAAGCCATCGGCTTTGGGTCCATAATGTTTTGAATTTAGTCACAGGGCCCACGCGAACCTGCGGTATCAGCAAGCCCAGAAGCTAGAACCTGGCCATGGAAAAGGTGCCTGCGAGAGCATAGCCCAACCAATGACCAGGCAATCAGGGGACAGGCAAGCACAAGTGCTATGCTGACGGAGGATCAGCTAGCAGGGGTCGTGGCAGTGTTTGGAGCATGTTGACTGAGAAAGGCAACACAACAACACGGTCGCTGGAGCACTTGTGTGCTTGGAGAAACTAGTTCGCGATGGCGTTGGGGCCAAATCGCGTCAGAATCTGCGAGGAACCCGGATTGCGACGAACGCGACACTGAGTAATAGTTAGTGACTCCCCAGTCTGAGAGCAGATTTGAGTGTCAGACTCACTGTGAGCAGAAAAATTGGCATAACGAATGAATTGTGATGGACGTGTTGAGAAAATGTCCAAAGAGGCAACGGAAGAGAAGAGAGTTGGAGAAGGGGCCAAAAAGAAAGACGGATGAAGTTCTCTCGCAAAGCCTCCCTTCCACCTTCAACTTTCGCCCCCAGAGACGATCCAACTTCATTTCCGCTTCAGCCGATCTAGAAGCGATTGTCCTACAACATAGCCATGTGGCAGAGCCCACCGGTCCAGACACATCAGGGAGCAGATCGTTCCGTGTCCCAGCTGACATCAGATATTGTTCTCTCAGGGGAAGTGTTTCGTTTGGGGCGAAAACCCCCACCAGAAAACCTTGCGAGGAGGAAGTTGGCTCAGAGAGAAAAGGTAGAGAGCTGCTAAGGTATCTACTCATCGGGCTGACTTGGTTGCGTTGAGTGGTACTGACATGGAAAACTCAAGGGGACGAACTCCAGGAATTGATCGCCTATATGTCGGCCACAACATGCGCTGAACATGAGAAAAACCTACACAATTGCCTCGGGGATCTCAGTCCAGCACATCCGGATCTACTATCTGTGTCAGCTCAACAAGGCTTTCACAGGAATCAGAAGTGGATACGAGCCACATGGGTGACATACCATTCCCCGGATCCGTGGTCGACTCCTTTTGCTCGAACCTGATCAGCACCATCAGGCCTGCCAGTTGAACTGGAGGAAAACGGCCCCTTGTTTGATCACCGGGCGTGAGTGTGCCTTGCACTATCGTGTAACGGGAAGGTAGCTTATTGCCTCGCCGATGAGTGACAGGAGTAGGTTCGGCTGAGCGTAATGGCAGCAGGAGACAGATGCTTGTTCTTGGTGGTAGGTATTAGGCCTATGGATGACCTTCTGTATGACTGAATGAATTCCCAGGTGGTCAACAAGGTTGCACCAGAGCATCATCTGCATCGGGACCAAACTGCTGCCTGAAGCAGACGATCTTTTTAATTGATTTCGAGCCAGTTGAAGCTTTCGAACCTAGATCATGTCGCGTCTCCCTGGGTTCCTTGTAATTGGGCATCAGGTTCCCCCGATTTTTTCCAACAACAATTGGGGTGGACAAGCCCCTCTGCAGGGCTACCAATGGCAAAGATTTCTCATAGAGCAGTCTTCTAGACAGCAGGTGATTCCTTAGAATCTGACTAACCTCGAACACTGGCATACTCTGCGCCGTACCAACAATTGTGGAAACAGAGTTTTATGATTGGGTTCTTCGTATGGGTTGTAAGCTTCTTCTGAAACGGATTACATGCATGAGTAGTGTGTTTGAGCGCTGCGTAACTTCCTACACCTAACGATCTCCACTGACTTAGCATAATACAATAATGATTTCCATTCCTATTTTGAAAGAGACTTCGATGGACAAACTTTCTGATACAAAACAACGGCAGCCTGACAAGAGCCATGTCCCTGAGTGGACCATCGCACCATGTTCAACTTATCCCAACTGATACTAATGACATGCAACCCCAGTCTCAGTTGAGACACCAGACTGAATATCCAACCTCAGATCTCAGCACCAAACACCATACGCAAAATGACCACACCAACAGTCACCACAACAGAAAGGTTGAACTTGGTCATTCCCAAACCCTGAACGACATCCAACGCCCCAGTCCAGTCATACGCCACCAGCATCCGGATGATAGGATACCACCACCAGGGAAATGTTGCACCCAACCAGCAAAATACCCACATGAACCCAACGCACCGCTGCCAGATGGGTGTTTCAGCTGAAGTGCTTTTCTTTCCTCGTGACAAGATAGCCCAGTAGTGTTGGACGATGTCCTCAAACATGATGGCACCGGCTTGTGCGACGAAAAACAACATGGCTCCAGTGTTTCCACCTTCAATTCCACTGATCACATTTGTGAATACATGCATCAAGCCGGATAGGATGAAGACGATGGTCAGGTTGAGATATCGTTCTATCAAGGAGGGCTTGGGAAGACCGAGGATACGGCAGGTGATTGCTGTTGAAACACCAGTGTATGACCAGCGGAGATTTTGATGCCAGAATTTGCTGGTTTGCCATATGTCAGCGATAACTATTTCACTTCGAAATGCAAGGATGATATGGAGGATTAGAGGTGAAATTACCCCCAGAAACCGCGAACAGTATACGTGTCGGCCAGACTCCCAAACTCTGGGGGCCACGAAGCGATTGTTGTCATTCCCGTCGCTACTGATATTAGAGACGCCACCCGGTACATAGAGTCCAGGAAGAGCATCGATCCAGGAAATCCGAAGAGAAATGCGACTGTGACACGTCCGAGGAGCTGCTTCATGCTAGAATTTGCCATCTCGAATTCGCGCCCGGATCCATATATGTATGACCCATCATAATCCTGCACATCATGGGTAGCTAACAATGAGAGCACGAGAACCAGGGCAAGAACTTCCCATATGATAATGGCCAGCTGCCTGCTCATGAAATAGCCTCGGCTGGGTGGTTTTGCTCGAAGCACAAGTGGATGACTGGGAATATTCTTTACCTGCCAGGCGGTGCCAATACCACGGGTAGACTGGAGCAACGCAGAAGCAGACGCAAGTTTCTCTGCAATAGTACCCGGTTGCCCTGTCAAATCGACTCTGGCAATTAAAAGCAAGTTTATATGTTGGATAAGTATGGTGAATGGCATGCCACTAAGAGTGACTTTGGCATAGGTATGGTGGTCGGTCATTCTAATCAGGACGCCTTCAATGTAGGCCATGTAGGTTATTGAAGGGAGGCATATCCAACGTATAAAGGAGTTCCGAGGCGTTCTGACAATGAGGGAGACCGCAATGAGGCTTTGGAGTATGGTAAAAATGGTGCAAAGGAGGTCCGGTGAGATGGCCATCTTGCTTGGTAGTTTGAAGCATCGGAAAACGAGACAAACGACGCCGTCTACGGCCTTGGGACTGCTGCTGACGGGACAATCGTTGACTTCGAAGCCAATGCCATTAGTGGACACGAAAGGGGCTGGTTATATGAGCTCAGGTGGGTGCCCATGTAACAGCTGCAGACCTTACACCACTTGCTCGTGCAACGACAGACGGAGCAAACTTGACGAACGGAAGATATCAAAGGAGATCAACTCTTTTATGGAGACTAACATCTCGAGACTAAATTCCGGGTGCGTTATTTGGGGGGACGAAAGGCGTAGAGGCTATTTACCGAACGCAATATCCATTTAAACAGCCACAATTTAGCTTAACGTGGCTATGAAAGTAATATGGAACACTTACATTCCCCTCCGTACGGTGTAACCTGGTGTGGTATCCACCTCAACCACGGCCCCGATACCCAGACTTGCTATTATTTGAGGCATGTAGGCGAAGGATATGTGTTGTAGTTCGAGGGAAGCTTGATTCTTATTATTCAGAGGGAAACATGAGGCTATATATCCAACGAGAAGATCAACTTGATTTCCAATCAAGTTGATTCTTCGTATACATCGGGATTAATTCCGATGGTTCGGCTTGGTTCCTGATCTGCACCAGCCTTATATTACAACAGAATGAAGATAATCCGGATCTCAAATCACCATCCCGCTTGCATTCTTTGAAAACACCCTATCGACTACTTTGCTTGTTTGCTTGCAATGACAGGATCTGTGCCTGGCGAGGATCTATCCTTGAATATTCTTGGGACCGAAATGTTTGGCAAAATATTCTCGGATGGTGATAAGCTCATACCCGTCCTGAGATCGGCTCGCCTCCCGAGCCGCCTTCTTCAGTGCTTGGCTGGCCTGGATATCGTTCGGGTGGCCGAAGAAGTTCCCGCCCGTATACTGCGTGAAGGCGAAAATGTCCCGGATCTCCTCTAGTGCGCCCACACCATATGTCGGAAATTCTGCCGGAGTCGCCTGCGGGACAAATCGGGCTTTCTGACCCGTCACTGTTCTCCCCAAATACCCGCCATGTGCATGTTTAGTATTGGGTCTTCCGTTCAGAAAGGGAAGGAGCAAAAGAGGAAACACGAACCTTCGGAAAACAGCGCAGTCAATCCTTCCATTGTAATGCTATCGCTGAACAGTTGCACCGTCCGTCCATGATAGGGGGCCGGGTCGAGGAACAGCCCGTGTATCATATCGCCAAAGTCCTCTGCGACGGCGAGCCAGGGCACCTTTCCTTGTCCGCCGAGATGGGGACTTGCGAACGTCAGATATCCCTCGGCATCCGACCGCAGGGGAAAGCCGCCAAAGCAGGCCGCATACTCTGGAGAGAGGAAGTTCTCCATATACCAACCCGGGATGGCTCCGATAACCGCGTCAAACGCGGGCTGATTGACCCCGTAGCGGAAGACTCGATTCTTGTTATCCATCCCTTTCACCACTGCCTTACCGTGGGAATGTTCACTGGAGGATTCACAAGTGCTGTAGATTAGAACCTTGACCCCTACCTCAGCGGCTAGAGAGATTAGGTGCTCGCCAAAGATAGTATCATCTACTCCTTCTGGCGTGGGGAACGCCTATCCTCCGAAAAGTAGTTAGGAGAGAGATTGAGCAGGATAGGGGAAGGTCCATCTCGTACTGGATCATGATGGTTAGTGTTTAGCCAAAACCCCCAAGCGCCTGTCAAGGCGGCTCGCATCTGATCGTGGTTAAACCCGTCGGCTTGCACGACCTCAGCTCCCAGACGTGCGAGTTCCTGTGCTGGTGGGGATAAAGGGTTCCGAGTTAGGGCACGCACGCTGAAGCCGACGGTACTCTGGAGCAGCGACCGAGCCACAGCGCCACCCTGGGCACCTAGAGTGTTTTTTATTTTCCTTAGTTGAAACACACCGAGGAGAGCGGGAGGTGTGTTACCTGTTGCGCCGTACACAACGATTGTCCTAGTCAAAGGGGCCACCATTTTGAAGAAGTACTCTGGTAAGGAGACGGATCGAAGAAGTAGAGGCAGCGGAGAGAATCGAATTCCACGGGAGGAGTCGATGAGAAATAGAATCTTCCCCGTGGGTTGTGCAGGCCTTTAAGATTCCCTTGCTGAACGCAAGGGTGTCACTAGCGGTGTAAATGGCCAACATAACTCCGGCAATGGGTCACATTACCATGCAGATCGGCGCTCTTCTTTTTAACTTAATCTATTTTTGATAAATAGACAGATCCTTGCATAGAGCTTTACAAAGTTTATGTACAGGTAAAACCTAGATTTTATGGTTATTCCTGTCTACTGTGTAGTTGATATTCTATAACTTCCTATACAGGGGATGATATTAAAGCTAGCTCTTGATCTGACTAGTTATAGATAATGTATTTAGTAAAATATGGTGAGACTATATTCTGCTTGTTATTAGCTATAGTAGATATACTCTAATCTTGAATCTAATATCTATATTCTGGACGAATTAAATTTTTCTAGACTTTCTTCATTGGGCTGTCTTTTGGTAAAATAGGTGTCTGTAATAAGCTTACATTCTATCATTACTAATATGCTCAAAATATGGTCCCCTACGTCTTCTTGGACAAACAAGGAAATACAGGCAGACCCAGTCCTATACATGAAGTGCTTGAATGAGCATACGGCGCCCACCGATCTAAGACACGGATAAGGAACGATAAACCAGATTCAACCGAGCTAGCATAGCCTCTCATACACATCGGTGAAGCAAGGATCAAGACAAGTCCTATTACGGTGACAGAGACAATAGAATGTAAATGTGAGGATTGTGCCACAACTAGAACGGGCGGGCACCACATTGGAAGGGTATAAAATTTGAAGAAAGCCCTTTCTCAATTGACTTCATTACCTCGAATCTCCTTCTACTCAGGCACTCGTTTCATATTTCCAAACATGGGCTCCCTAGGGCAACCAGGCCTTGCACAGGCACTCTACACTCAGGTTGAGCTGTCCAAGGAAGTTGTTGCTGTCCAAAGTGGCAAGCATTCTTTGACCTTCCGGGAGCTGCACAAGACTGCCCTGAGCCTCGCCGGTCAGATTTTGAAAAAAAGACTGCCAAAGGAATCGCCCATTGCGATTCTAGCGCCAAGGGGAATTAATCATGTCCTAGCGCAGGTTGCAATCATCTACGCCGGGGGAAGCTGTACTCCTTTGGATGTGAAGCAGCCTGATAGCTATCTGGACACCCTTCTGAGCAACCTGGACTGCACCCTCGTGGTTACAGACAGGGAAAATCAAGGCCGACTATTGGGATACGACCATTTGCTCGTCGATCACGAGGTCAAGAACGACCGACGGAAGGATGATGCGACTCCCGGAGTAGTCGCCTTCAACGAACCCTCCGCGTGTTCGCACATATTTCATACTTCAGGCACGACCGGTAAGCCTAAAGCAGTACAGGTGCTGGCCCAGGGAATTATGAATCTGGCCTACAATGCAACGTACAGAGTGGAACGTGGGCGTCGATTCGCCCACGTCGGGAATGTTTCCTTCGACGCCGCGTTATTTGAGATCTGGGTTTCTCTGCTTAGTGGCGCATCTCTCATAATCATTCCCCAAGATGTGGTCCTTGATCCGCCAGCCTTTTCCGAGCGCCTTCGGTCCGACAAGATTGAGGTCATGCTGCTGACACCCGCATTGTTGACCTCCACCGTGCACGCTGTGCCGAACGCCTTCGCCACGCTCGATACACTCTATACCGGCGGGGAGGCAATCAATGTTCAGACAGTCAAGACCATCTTTGAGCATGGTCCTCCACACCAACTTATCAATCTGTACGGGCCGACGGAATGCACGGTGTATGCCTTATGCCATCGGGTACAACCTGAGGATGTCGAGACTCAGCAGATTGCCCTCGGACATGTCCTTGACAACATGGTTGCCTATGTTGTAGATGAAAATCTTGACCCAGTAGCGCCAGGGGAGATAGGCGAATTGCTGCTTCAGGGGGCTGGAGTCTCGCGAGGGTACTTGGGCGAGCCCGAAAAGACCGCCAAAGCATTTGTGCGGGCCCCCAAAATTAATCCGCACGAGCATATCTATCGGACTGGTGATTTGGTCCGTATCGAGCAGAATGGCCTCTACTATTTCATTGGCCGAAAGGATAATCAGGTAAAGATTCGCGGCCAGCGCATTGAACTAGAGGCTGTCGAGCTTCTCCTGCGCGAGACGAACCTTGTCAGGGACGTCGTCGTGTTGAAAGTACAGCCCGAAGAATCAACACTTGACGCCATTCTACTGGCCTATGTGATTCCGATCTCCGCCTCGACTACTTCACACGCTATCATCCGCGAGTTCATCCGGCGCACGCCTCACATGGTGCCACGCATTGAGTTCATCCAAAGCTTTCCGCTGAAATCAACCGGCAAAGTCGATCGCAAATTACTGGAGAAATGCTATCTAGAGAAGATGAAGCAGGCCCGAGCTTCGACCAAGCCAGTCAAGGCCCTCTTGGGCTCGCAAAGCTACCCGGCTATTCTGGACCATTTGCAAAAGCTGTGGCTGGATATTCTGTGCCTTCCAGTGGCTGGGCTAACCGAACGTGAAGACTTTTTCCACCTGGGGGGCACCTCGCTGCAGGCGGCCACTTTGGTCGCTCGTGTGCGCCAGTCGTTTGCAGTAGAGCTGCAGTCGGCAGCTCTCTATGAGCATTCCACTCTCGAGGCACTGGCACGATTGGTCCAGGCGCTGCAAGCCGGTACCAACTCTGAAACCGAGGCGTACAAGCAGCTCGAAGCTCAGTGGAACGAAGATATTGAGCTGGGTAAGGAGCTCAAGCCGTTGGGGGGGGTTCTTCCCGACTGGAAAGCCCCTGACGAGGGACGAGTGCTTCTCACGGGAGCTACAGGCTTTGTAGGCGCCTTTTTGCTGTCGGAACTGCTCAACATGCCGTGCGTACAATGTGTTGCCTGCCTGGTCCGCGCCGAAAACACGACCGTTGGATGGGCCCGTCTGCGGAAGAATCTAGATAAGTATCAAATTGTGCTCACGCCAGACATGGAGGCGCGAGTTCTCATTATTCCCGGCGATTTTGGCCAGCCTAATCTCGGTCTCAGCCCACATCTTTACGAGTTACTGGCAGGTTGGGCCAGCGTCGTCTTCCACCTGGGAGCGCATGTTAACTACGTACAACCCTATTCCACCCACCGCGCTGCCAACGTGCTCGGAACCCTGCGGATGCTGGAGTTCGCCAACAGACGGCGGCCTAAGATGTTGCATTACTCGTCCAGTATCGCTGCGTATGGGCCCTCGGGGTTCGTCCTTGGGGCGAAGTTTATCGGTGAGAACGAACGGCCCCGCGACTACATGCGCTCGCTCCAGTACGATACCGGCTACTCGCAGAGCCAGATGGTCGCCGAGTGTGTTGTTTGGAATGCTATTGATAAGGGCCTACCGGTCGCCATTTTCCGCCCCGGCTTCGTGCTGGGCCACTCGAGCAGTGGGATTAGCAACCCTGACGACTTTATCGGCCGTCTTTTCTCCAGCTGTCTGAATATGGGCTGCTACCCCTTGCTTCCTGCTCAGCGCAAGGAGTTTATTCCGGTTGACTTCGTGGTGGGTGCCCTGCTGCATATTGCGGCAAATCCCGCCCGGCTGGGGCGCGCGTACAATCTCATTCAGCCACGCCACCAGGCCGCCCTTGACATGAATACCACTTTCTGTCTGCTCAGAGATCTCTCCCCTGTTGCGTTGCACCCGCTTCCTTATGCGGAGTGGGTACAATGCTTCTCCCTCGAGACCCAGGATCCGCTGCACCCGCTGATGCCCATGCTGCAGGAGAAGGTCCTGGGCGACCTGACTCGCTGGGAGATCCAAGAAAACATGGCGGTCTACGGCACATATAATCTCCGTACGGCACTGCAAGAGGATTGCCCTCAGATCTTGGAATGCGAGCCCCTGTCTGCGCTCTTTAAGCGATACATCCACCAGTGGTTGCCTCGCCACCTGCGTACCGAGTAAGGCGAAAAGTACTGCCGATGGCGGATTCATTGTTGATGCTCTCATTTCCGTACTTGTGTCATTTTCTTAGTTGTTCGTTTCCGTCTTTTGGCTTGGTTCACAAAATGACTGTGCGCCAAAGCGTACAAGTCAGAATCATTGGGTTGAGAAAAGAAAATTTCATTGAGTCTTGAGGCAAAATTAGACCAAACACTACGAGATTATTAGAAAATGCTTTGATTTGTCATCTTCACCTTGGAACAATTTCTTAACTTGGATTTTCTATATTAATCGGTAGAAAGTTGTTGGCGACTGAGATATCAAGGCCCACTGAAGCAGGGACAGCTGGCTCATCCGTCTCATCTGCTCAGGCTGCAGGGTCACCATGACCTCGCGCACTGCCGCCTTCTCCTTCTGAATTGGTTTCAGGATACACTCGCCGACCGGAGAGCTCGGAGGTAGGAACTCCACCCGGTCAACATATCCCAGCTGGGACCCGAAGTCTAATGCAAAGACCCGCCAGTCATTCAAGCTGCTGACGATGATATCGCACCGTTGCAACAGGATCTGGCTCCAGTCCGGCGTCTTGTAGTAGCTCGCAACGAGCTTGGCCAGCGCAGGTCCATCCACATCGGCGATACTGCAGCGAATGCGATACGCCATGAGGGTGAGCAGCTGCATAGTGTCATCGTCGTCGATAACCGCACAGCCCTCTCGGCATGCGCGTTGCTTTTCGCCGGAGAAGTTACTCGTGTCGGACTGTCCTCTAATGGCTTCTCTTCCCTCGTTCTCTGCTGCGGGTTCATGCTTTAAGCATCGGAGCTGAGACATGTTAAGCAAGGAGTTTGCGTACGCGACCGAATTGCCTAGATATTCATCCGGCAGTGGCGGGTTAAACCTCCCACGCGAATTCACTGCAACCCCCACCGTCGATGAGGGCGACTGCGTGACGACGACCGGGCTTGCACAGATCCACAGTAGTGCCGTTAGCACATCGTTGGACGAAACAAATCCCGGTCCGGCCTTGTATCCCTCTTGGTCGTGCTGCTGCCGCAAGCCTGGCAGCCGGGCATTGCAGTGGCGTTTCAGCTGCTGGATTCGCTCCTCCGAGAATACGAGATTATATACGATGCTGGTTGCATCGGAAGCCAGACCCTCCCCGGGTAGAACTGTCGCGTCCACCGCATCGACTCCCAGCGAAGGACCCTCGTCCGACCATCCCCTCAGCGTGTGCAGATACTGCCGGGTCTCAACCTGGGCGGCAGCCGCAGAAGTCGACCAACTGGCACCGGTGGGATCGTGACAGCATTGAGCTAGCAGCGCGAGAAGCATATCATTGCCCTTACCATCGAGAACCATGTGATTAACCGCAAGGCACAGCGCGATCCCGTCGGCGAGACGATTGATTTGTGCCCGGAAAACGGGAGCCGGTACCGTGGTCAATTGGGTCAGTCTCTCGAAGTCCGGCATCAAGCGGCGCGTGGCTTCCTCACCGCTGGCCCAGCGACTTACATCATCGTCGGCCAGAACCTGCCCCGGGAGGCCATACTCCAAGTAGTCCTTGACCTGCACGAGGGAGGCGCAGGTTAATGCGAGGGACGGGGACGAGGTGTCTGGCCGCACCTCCAGCACATTCGTCTTGTAGGGGTGAGTTGCTGAGGCTACGACTCCACTCAGAAACGGAACGATCTTGATCAACCGGTCTAGGCCGCGCTGAAGCTTCTCCACAGACTTGTTCAATGAAGTGCGTTCCGGTCGGAAGTACAGAACTGTTGTCGCATACAGGACCGGAGGGAACACATGGTCGAGTGGTGACAAAAGGAAGGGGGTGAATCCGTCGCTGGCCATCTTCGCCCTTGATATGTGTATGCTTTGAGATCGGATTCTAGACGGAAAGAAAAGAGACTTAGTAAAGGCTTCGAGTGGATGAAAATGGCTCTGGCCGGAAGAGACAGCCAACAGGGAGCGCTTCACAGGGCTTGTAAATCCTATGATGCTCACGGACCTGGACCGCTGATGATTAATAATAGATCAAGTAAACGGTGCTTTCCTTGTTTGGAAGTATCTATTTTCACCGAATTCCCCGTAGCAGCCTGCTATGCTTATTAACATGAGCGGGGAGAGTGACGTGGCTACCTGCAAGACACATGCAGACTCTCTGTCTTGCCCTTTCTCTCGCATAAAGGCTAAGATCCGTTATTACAGTACGTGTCGCTCCTAGGTTGCGAGCAGCACGCAGGGATGCCCAATCCGCGTCTGCAGTGGCAAGGAAGTGTCTACCGCTGATCTGCCTCAACATGACGGTCGTAACCTCGCGAATAAAAATCATCACCGTCATGAGTGTAACCGGTAAGGATGAACCAAGGCCCTTGGTGCGACCTCCGTCTGAATCGGGACTGAATCTTCAGGGACAGAAAGCCAGGGGTGGTCAGTCGTGCGCTCCTTACTGCAGGACCCGGGATTTGAAGTCCGCTGCGTCACGCACAACTTCTCGTCCGAAAAAATCGCAAGAGTTAGCGCAATTAGGTGCAGTATTCATTTAGGCAAATGGACTATATGCCACTCAGATGACTCAAGCCTTTGCGGGCAGCTGGGCAGCCTTCATCAACACCAGCTCTGAAAGAGATCCAGTAAGCTTGCATATGTTGTTCGGCCTGCAAGGAGCCTTCTGGTCGTCAATCTATCTCTGACCTCGAGGTGCATCTTGTTGACCACCACAGCCACTTACTGAAATCAGGAAACCTGACCTGGACCTTGGTCGGACGATCACGAAAAGTGCCGCTGCGTCCGGAGTCCAGCATATTGTCTATAGCTCGGCTCCCATCCAGCCAAACTCACAATGGGGGGCCTGGTGATCCCCGGATTGGACTGTCTGTCAATCCCTCTTTACCTCAATATGAAGGATATACCAATTTCAAAGCCTAATTTATACCAATAGTCAAAGCCGATGTCGAAGCCCTCGATCGCTTGCTCTCCGAATCCTGCACCTTCACCCCGGTGATCGTCGCCTCGTTTCTAGAGAATTTCCAGAACCTGGAATACGATGAGATTTTCGGAGAATCCCTACTCCATACAGACGCGGAGGGGATTCTCACCTACCGGATTCCCCTCTGGGGCGGAAGGGATGAGGTGCCCTCAGTTAGCGTGGCTGACGATCTGGGTGACATCGTACACGGTGTCTCTCTTAAACCCGACGCGGTGGAATAGACAGGTTGGGCAGGCCAGAGATAAGATCCCCCCCTTCGGCGCCGTCGTGATGAAGTTCGTCCGCGTCACCGACCGCCTGGCCCGCTACCTCCCATACCCTAAGACGGACGACTATCCCACTCACGGACTCCCTTTTGTCGAGCAGGACCGCGACATCTTCAAGTTCATCCAACGTCGCGATGGGGAGCACTTTGCCACCGGTATCACTGAGGTGCATTCCGCCGCTGAGCTGAAGCGAGCCGCCTTCCGTGCCAAACCAGGAGGAAGTGAGACAGGGTGTGAATCACTGCGCTCCATCGAGGAGTGGCTTCAGAAGGTGTTTGGCGATGTTGGCAGGGAGACGAATTAGAGCAGCGGTGGGAGCGCCAGGGCAAGAGGAACCCAATCCCGTAGAGACATAGGAATAGACTGGGAATAGTTGAGGTAATATGAAAGTTGCGTACGACTACCAAGACGAATCGGTCGAGCGAAGACCGGACCTTGTACTTTTCATACGCCTCGGCTGAGGGCCAAGAACAAAAGGAGAAATAACCAGCGGAGGCGAAGAGCTCTCGTTAACTGGCACTAAGCCCCTCATATATACTAGCCCTAGTATACCCTACGGGAGGGAAGCAGGGCATGGCTGGTGGCAGGAGGTCGGTTGAGGCTAATCTAGACATATCGAGTTGACAAGTACTGGCATTATCTGATAGATGCATTCTTTCCACTTCGTCGACTAGTTCTCTTTTGCCCCGTTGACCCAAGCGGACAATGCCCGATACCCCTAATCCTACAACCAATATCACCTGCTGTCGACTGCCCCTTACATCGCTACGACTCCAGCCCGAGGGCGGAACAATGCCCGAGCTGGTTCTTGGCTGAAGTAAGGAATGAAGCATTCCCGCCAGACAAGATCTTCTTTTCTATGTTCATCATATCACCATAGGTGTTAGTCATACTCGAAGCTGAGTTCAGGAGATGAAGAAGGAAGAAATGGACGACAATCTTACCCTGGAGTCACCAGCTCGATGTCAAAGCGACGGAGTATGGCACCTAGGATGAGATGCACTTCGGCCATAGCCAAACTAAGGCAGAGTTAGAGCGCTGAACCAAAATAAACAGAGTAAACAACGTCTGAGTTCATACTTGATTCCCATACAGGCGCGCGGTCCTTTCCCAAAGGCCACCAGGTGCGAATTCAGTTCCTTGGCGTTGGGCTTCAGCCAGCGCAGAGGGCGGAAGTCGTCGGGCTCGTCGAAAAGAGCCGCCGATCGGTTCACCATCAAAGTACTCGACCCCACGACGGTGCCCCCCGGGATGAATTGGCCCTTGATCATCACTCCCTGCGCGGGCACGACACGAGTAAGCGGGTGGGGGATCCCAGGAGCCAGACGCAGAGCTTCCTTGACCACCGCCATAAACAAGGGCAGTTCCTCCAACACACTAAGTGGGGGGTAAACCTGGGGATCAGGCCATATCGCCTGTAACTCAGCCTGGACCTGGGCCATGAGTTGCTTGTCGTGGCAGAGATGCCATATCCCCCACATGACGGTGTTACTGGTGTTCTCAATGCCTCCAGTAAGTAGGGTCTGGGCTTCGCTGTACAGGGAAGTGAAGGGGATCTGCGCAGCCATAAGATCGCGAAAGATAACCGGGTATCGCGAGTTTTCCAATTTTGTGGCTCCGCTGCGGATCGCGACCACCTGCTCCATGACCTCGCTCTGGAACCGACGAAGCCCGGCGTGTGACGGCCACAGCCAATTATTCACCCATACGGGCAGGGACTCGAGTACATGCCCCACCCACGGAAACCATTTCAGGATCGTAAATGCGGGGAGCGAATCATTTAGACTTCGCAGGATGGATAAATTGAAATCCGGACTTTCCAACGCCTGCCACATATCTTGCCCAAACATCAAGATTGTGATAATGGTGAGCGTCAACGCGCGAGGTCCAAATAGTAGATTGGAGCTCTGACCTTGCTGGTCGTTCCTACCAAGGATAGAGCAGAAATGGTCAATCTGTTCGTGAATGCAGGGGAGAAAGTCTATGACTTGTTTGCGTGAAAAGATGGAAGCCAGAATAGCCTTGCGCGGTTTCGCTTCCTCCATTGTCAGATACCCAAACGAAGCATCATCGGCGCCAAAAGAATGGTAGATGAAGGGATCCTTGTTCCATCGAATATTGGCATTGTAAATGTTATGATATGCCTCAGGTTCGGCAAAGTGAAGCTGTTTCCCGTCAGTATCATATCACGAACAGCCCAGTTCGAACAGTGGGACAGACCTCATTGGGCGCGATACGAATGATGGGGCCTGTCTGGCCAGTTATTTTTGCATTAGACATCCATTTGCTTTCACTGTGATCAGGATCCTACCATATTTGTCATGCAGCTGGGGCAACAAATCGGATATTCCTTTCCCATAGAACATTTCTTGCACAGTCCTCCACCAAGTATTAGCAGCGGCCAGCTTTGGGCCAGGAAATCGTGAGAGAGGATGGAAATAAATATTTCGAATGGCTTCCCATGCTATTTTAGTCGCGATAAGGCCAGCCACCCATAAAATATAGGGAAAAAAGAGATGAAAAGCCATGAGGTCTATATTCCGCAGAGCGGTCGTGTTCGCAATACCTTTTTTGATATCAAACTCGGCAGGACAGCGGCGGGCTAATATGTGGTTGCTTGTTGAATAGAAGAAGCCATGGACCAGTGTCTTTAATCTACACCCTTGCATGATCACATACCCTTGCCGCTGTTCACCGCTATCTACCGAATCCCGGTGTCTTCTATCTACACCCCTGCATGATCAACATACCCTTGCCCCCATTCATCGCCATCCGCAGAAAGCAAGGACAACGGAGTGAACTACCGCGTACCAGGCAAGCACTCTTCAAAGCAGTCGTGTCACTGAGAGCTTCAAATGGTCTTCCATAAAGATTTGTAAGCTATGCCGCCGGTTGCCCATGTATCCACGAAGTTCAAGATTCCGCCTTTCGACAATATAGGCAGTCACTCCGGGTAAAGATTGATGAATTCTAGTTCGCAGGCTCTCGCTAAAAACTATGATATAAAAGTCTAAATTATATTTTATCAAAATTTATAAAAAGCTGTTACATACCTTACTCATAATAATTATAATATTTATAAAAATATTTCTCATAGACTTTCTATCTATATTATCTATCAGATTCTGATTTCTGACTATCTATATTTTATTCTGCAGGTTAGGTCTATATAATTAATACTAGTAGTTATCTTTTATTCTTCTATTATATATTTCGTGGGTGCTCCTTGAAATATATACTCTTAGTAATCCATTTCTAGCGCTTTTAGAAATTAAAACTAATTGTAAAGCAAGGAATATTCGTGGTTATACCTTAACCTAACCTTAACCGTGACCTGACGGAAGGTATAGATTTTCCTATCAACCTACCCTACCCTGGCCGCTAACCACTCTAAGTATAATTTATCAGATTCTCTACTTAGTGGAACTGAGGAAAAATAAAAAAGATAATAAACGGGATGATAATTCAAATTAGATAATTAGTTTATCCAATATGGAAATTATTTGAAATGATGACCTATTAGCCTATCCAAGTTTGAGTCTTTATATAAAATAAGGGGAAAATAGATGAAAAGTAAAAACAAATGATATCTACAAGTCTAAATCTATCATATTTTTTAACATTATAGATCTAGAAGAAACTAATTGTGGTTGCTATTACTAATCTTTTCCCGAATAGAAACTGATTTTGTTTGTTGACCACTGGCAGAGTCTTGTTGCTTCTAAGGGTGCCTCTCACCACTCTCTCCGGTGGGTTCCTAGTCCCATTTCAGTTGACAAACTTTGCCTTAAACCATTCCTCTACCGACATGAGCTTCTCTCGGCCCTTGCCCCCTTTGGCAATAAATGCAGCGTGCTTCAGCTCGGCTGCGGACCGCAGCTCGGTGATTCCAGTGCTGTAATACTCCCCATCTCTAGAATGGACAAACTTGAACATGTCGCGGATCTGTTCCAAGAAATGGACACCGTTCGTAGGAAAATCGTCGGCTGTGGCATATGGGATGTATCTCGCCTTGCGTCCAGTCACTGTACATAGATAAGCGCCCACCTCATAAAAATAAAAGTCCAGACCAGACGGCTGGGAGAGAAGGTGGGGTTGTGGGAGCTACCTTTGGTGAACTTGGCGACGATATCACCAAAGGAGGCAATATCACCATTTGCCTGGACGAGACGCCCATTCCACCGATTCGGGTTCAGGAAAATACCGTGCACGATATCTCCGAGATCATCAGTAACACTGATCCAAGGAGCATCTTCATACCCACCCCAAATAGGGATGCGGTAAGTGAGATATCCTTCATCATCCTTTACCAGTGGGAAGCCGCCGAAGATCCCTGCGTACGCCGGATCCAAATAGTTCTCTAGGAACCAGGCCAAAATGATCGGTGTAAAGGTCTGGAAGGCCTCGAGGCCGCGGCCAATTGCTTCAACCTCTGCTTTGTCTACCCATTTATGTCAGAAAAGTTCCACCTTTCTCAATCAGACTTGTAGCTTCCAACTAGACACATACAATCAAGTCCCGGGATGACCAATTGGCCTCTTGTAAGTTTGGCTGGGTTGGGGGCAGAACTATAGACAACATGTTGTACCCCGGCCTCGGCAGCGCAGCGCATAATATTGCCGCCGAGATCGAGGTCTGTTTTACCGATTTCAGCCAAGTGCTGGGACGGTTTTAGTCCAGATTTACTTCATCAAAGTCATGCGAGTGATACCACTCACCGGATCTTCAGAATTGGTGTTGATGAAGGCACCCCAGCTGCCGGTGAAGGCTTCAATCATTTGCGTCCTGTTTAGCCCATCGGCCTCTATGAGTTTAGCTCCCAACTTCAGCAGCTCTTGGGCTCTGGTGGACGAGATATTCCTGGTGACACAGCGGACCTCGAAGTCTGGGTTTTGAACCAGAGACCGCACGACCGAGCTGCCCTGGGTACCTGGACCATCACAAAACTGGGTATGAGCTCCCAATCATGATGAGAAGGAAAAGGTGACATACCTGTGGCACCAACAACGGTGATAATTTTCTTACAATAATCCCCTGTCATATTGGAAACAGGTATTAACCAATTCCGATGGGTAATCACGGCTTCAATAGATGGTTTGTCGAAGAAAATAATCAGAACGAGCCCGAGTGATTTAACACATACACAAATCCACCCTCTTTGGGCATTACCTTTTATATAATTGATACTTGGTTAGGTACGTGTACATTGTCTCCTTACTTTTTTTCCTAACTATGGGCGTAGGTGCCACGTCATCTGCAGAATCTGTAGACTATATGCTTTACCACCAGGGATAGTCATGTTAACACTAATCTAGGCTCTTACATTATCCCCGCATAGAAGGGAATATATGCAATAATCCATGGACTTTGGGCATTAAATTTGTCAATTAAATACCTGGTTGGGTATGTGTACATTGTTTCCTTACTTATGTTCCTAACTATGGGCGTAGGTGCCACGTCATCTGCAGAGTCTGCAGACTGTACAGTAGAATCGCGAATGTTCGCAAAGCAGACATGTTCTCTTATCCGAGCATATGGGGGATCGTTATAATTGAGAGCGATAATGCCTACGTATGCGCACATTCTAAGGCCCTCATCAACGCCATTACGGGAAATTTGGATCAACTTGGTCTCCAAAGGCTGGTTTCCCGGTGACCTGCTGCATCCAAAAAATCTGCATTCACACCGACTATTCACCCCACCAATATGATATGCACATTTGTTTCTCATTAAAGTCGCATGTTAGAGGTTGGAGATAATCAAGGGCTTTTGAAACCCATGCCTTCTTCTTCTCAATAGTCAGTGTGCCACAGCCTCTGTCTAGTCTTCCCTCAGGTTCGATACGACATGACCGCGCTGTATTTCCCAACAGAAACCCCGTCAGAGGCAATTATTGATCTACGGTGCGACCTTTCGCGTTTATGCGAGCTCATTACTTTGTCAACTGAAGAGGTGGGTCCGGCAAATAGCCCAGACATAACCAACGCCATGGAAGTCCGGCCAGCGTCAAGGAAAGATGATGCCTCCTCAGAGGTGATGAATGTTTGGCATTAGCCTCTAGCAAACGCAGTGCTTGGAAATTATCCGGTTCGCGGAAAAGGTGGTACCGATCCCCACGACGGTGCCTAGGGGAATGAATTGGCCCTTGATAACGGCGCCTGTTTAAGGGATGATCCGGGTGGCTTGATATGGGATCCCCAACGCGACACGCAAAGTTTCCTTGACCACGTGGCAGATTCAAGAATTTCTAACTCTAAATATATCTCAGGATCTGGCTAGACGTCCTGGACATCGTTCTAGACCCGATGTAGTAGCTTTTTATAATGCAATAGATGCCACAGGACATTTAATATTGTTCACATTCTAGATTCCCGCTATGAGTAATATCTGGGCCTCCGCGTACAAAGAGTCTAGGGTAATGCCCACCGCCAATAAACCCAAACCCTGGAAAATAACCAGATATTGTGAGTCCTGTCGCAGTGCAGGTTCTTGTCATGCCATTACAACCTGCTCCATCAGCTCGCTCTAAAATGACCATACTCCCACCTGGGATGGCCAAATTCAGCTACGAACATACGTAGGGAAACACTCGAGCAATAGCAATATCGAGGGGAAGTATCTTTAGATAGCAAATCCTGGCAGCAAATTATTGAGACTGTACAGGATAGATGAGAAAAATCCAAACTCTCCACTACACCAAAAATTTCGTCCAAACAACAACCGGGCCTGGTAATAGTAATCTCACATCAGTCTTTTGAGCGGGCACAACAAATTAGTTTGCTAAGATGGTCACATTATCTTTGGCATGGAGGTCATGCAGAATATCCGAAACCCCCTTTCCAGCCAAAAGTTCATGAAACATCATCCACCAAACGCCAGGTGAAGCTGGCTTCGGGCCGGGAAATCGAGACAATTAGACATTTCTGACTGCCTTCCATGAGATTCTTGCGATGACTAAAACTGCGAGACCTGCGAGACATTGAAGTGATACTGGAGTCTCCATGACCTAGTATCAACTCTACTATTCCTTTCCATTTTACATGACTAGCAGCGCGGGGCCCATTGTGTTACCGCTGTGGCCCTTCTGGCAAAGATCAACTTTTCTGTACCTTGCTTGTTGCATTTTCTCGGTAAAGGTCATCATCCCTTGCAAAGGGGGGGGGTAGTATGCTTCCAGAGAAGCAGTGAAAGGCTTGGACAAACCATGAATGGCATCATTCTGTTGAGGTGGAATGCGCACTCTATTGAAGCATATAAGCCCAACACAATGCCCCCCTGTGTCTCCCAGAACTGTGCATTCTCTCTTCTCTCCATCTTGGGTAAATTATCATCCTGGCAACATGGGATCCATAGCTGAATGTTCTGACGCCAATCCTCCTTTGGGTGATTTGATCGAGGTTGCCGCGTCTAAAATTGGCCCCGAAGAAATGGTCCAGATCCTCACCGAGCATGGTGGAGTCATCGTGCGTGGTCTCATCGAGCCCGAAGTGTTAGACCAGGTCAAGCGAGACTTGATGCCACATCTTACCGATCCATGGACTCATGATCCACTGTTTTCCAACAAGGTTCGGGTAGTTACTGGCGTGGCAGGCAAGAGTCCGACTTTCATTGAGCATATAGCGGGGAACCCGCTATTCTCGGACGTGTGCGATCGACTGTTGGGCTCGTCGCACACGTGCTGGTATGGCAATGAAAAGCATACATTTGAAGCCTTGCCACAGGTGAACAGTGCGGCAGCCTTCCTTACCTCCCCTGGCAACACGCTCCAGAACCTTCATCGTGACGATATGGGCCATCACAATCGTCTCAGGGCCATCACCCCGAGACAATACCAGGTCGGCAGAGACACTGCGGTCGGCATATTTGTGGCCGGTTCTCGAACGACCAAGGAGAATGGTGCCACTCGCTTCATTCCCGGCTCCCACCTGTGGGATACAATGCATCCTCCTGATGATAGTTTATCTGTCTATGCAGAGCTCCAGCCTGGAGACGCCTTCATCATGCTAGCCTCTTGCTATCATGGTGCCTCGATAAATAATAGTCAAGAGCAGCGTCTAGTCTACTCCTGCTTCATGACTAAAAGTATTCTCCGACAGGTTGGTAACTTTTTCCAATGATTGGCGGCGTACTGCATTTTTCAATTTTCTCCAGTCTTTGTGTCTTTGTTTGACTCTTTTTCAATGATGCTAATAGTGGCCCCTTTTGCAGGAGGAAAATCAGTATCTATCAGTTTCAGTCAGCGATATTCGGAAGATATCCTCCCGAATGCAGAAGCGATTAGGGTTCGCAGCTAGCAATCCTCTCCATGGCTGGGTAGGATTGAAGGACCCCATGGTGATGCTTGGGTTGGATGGAACCAGCGATCACACAGGGATGAGCAACACCTAGGCCTCGTCATGGTCAGATTCAGGTTCCAAAAGATGGGACCTCGGCCCTAAAGCTGAGTCGGATCGCAGTTCCATCAGTTTCGACTCAATGTTCCCACCTGATCGGATCCCAATTGCATAATCTATACCAGAATGGTAATGACACTGGAGTGCAATGCTATAGGGTGCGGGAACCCCAAATGCTCTGATTACTCAGATTCCCGGAAAAGGGGGGATACAATGCTATTATATTCTAAAGATAGCCAGAAGATAGAAAACAGCATGCTATATTCTATACCTAAACAGGAGACAGGGCACCTCTGAGATTGTGACACGCCCAGCAGAAGTCTTAAGAACATGATTTGAATATGCGTGGTACGGTGAGGGGGAATAGAACTAGTTAAGCAGTAGATAACATGAGTTTAGAAATTAGGTACCAACAGTTCTGGTTATAAGATCCTTATTACAGCTCTGCCAGAGAAGGGGAAAGTTGTTAGTATAAATACTAATAAATTTAGATATATCTATACCGGTTAACAGCTGCCTGTGGTAGGATAATTAATAAGAAGGCTAACCGCCTCACTCCCTTCCTAGATAGCTAGAATAACCTAGTTAAGAATATGGAAAAACCATCACAATTTGTCCATTATTTCACACAAGTAGCACCAGCTATTTTCAGTATTATTTTTACTGTAAGTTGAAACAGACTGAGCACTTACTCAAGTTAAATACTAATATTATAATTCAATAATGCTTGGCAGGTGCAAAATAATATTATAAATCACGTGATGAAATACTTAGGCGGCGGCTAGAAGCTGGAAGTTACAGGTGGAAATGCAGCTGTTTATGGCCTTAATAGCAGTCATTTTCAGCGTCGATTTCTCAGGTTCTCATATTCTAAGTGTAAATCATGCGATCTACCGAGCTCTCCAATAAAATCTCAAATGTATGGTTTTCTCGAGTACCAGTCCACAACCGGCCAATAACCAAGTCTATGAAAGACCAAAGAACCAAAATTAGCCTCTACTATTAAACTGGCGAGCTACTAACTATGTAATTAATCAACATCGACGACATAGCCCTCCTTGTGTATTGGTTGTATGAATGTCCTCGCTTCGGGCCATCTTCGACCCGAGGGGGCCTCTCTTTCTCGGCGTAGTGATTGTCCCGAGACGCGACTTCGCCGGTGGTTGTCCCGGGGGGGTAATTTTCGCGTGCAACCATGGGTATGGTATGCAATGGCCTGATGGGATATGAGTTTTAAAGCGGCGTAGATGAATTAGTGAATTTGCAGATTGGAACTAACCGAGTGACTATAGCTAGTAGTATTATGATTACGTGGGGTAAAGTTTGGGACAGAATATAAGTTTCAGGTCACTATATGCTTTAGGTCTACAGTCACTGCAATGTAAGAACAATTTGTAATCATCGTAAATTCGTATCCTAGTTGTTTTACATGAACCAGTCATGGCTATCTGCGTAGAAGCTAACCCAAGATCCACGAGCTCGTCGCCGAAGCGAGCTCTCCCAATTATTCTCACGATGTCAATTATTTATATTAGAAGAGAGAATCGCCCAGACGGTAGTGGACGGCCTTGATCTGGGTGTAGTTCTCAAGGGCGTACGAGCCGAGCTCGCGGCCGATACCGGACTCCTTAAAACCTCCGAAGGGAACCTGGTAGGAGAGCATGTTGTAGCTGTTGACCCAGACAGTTCTATGATGCTTGTTAGCGAGTGGATTCGATTTATGTAGGTAGTAGTGATGGTGACTTACCCAGCACGAAGAGCGTTGGAAACACGGATGGCGGTGGTGACATCCTTGGTGTGGATACCGGCAGCAAGACCTAGGACATAACATTAGCACTTGGCATCGCAGCAATTTGATACCGGAAGGGGGACTCACCATAAGAAGTGCTGTTGCCGATCTTGATAGCATCCTCAACATCCTTGAATTTCTGAACAGTGACGACGGGGCCGAAGATCTCCTCCTGGTTGATCTTCATGTCGGAGGTGACGTCGGTAAAGACGGTAGGCTGGATGAAGTAACCCTCGGTGCCGTGACGCTCACCACCGACAGCAACGGTAGCACCAGCATCCTTACCGTGCTGGATGTACTCCATGATGCGGTCGAACTGGAGCTGCGAAACCTGGGGACCCTGGAAGGTGTCCTGGGCGAAGGGGTCACCGACCTTGTTCTGCAGAGCACGCTCCTTGAGACGCGCAATGAACTTGTCGTAGATGCCTTCCTGAACCAAGATACGGGAACCAGCGCAGCAGCACTGACCGTGGTTGTAGAAGATACCGAAGTTGGCCCAGGAGATAGCGTTGTCAATGTCGGCATCATTGAAGACAATGTTGGGGGACTTGCCACCCAACTCGAGGGTCACCTTCTTGAGGTTACTCTTGGCGGCGGCCTGGAGGATAGTACGACCAACAAGGGTGGAGCCAGTGAAGGCGACCTTGTCGATGTCCATGTGGTGAGAGATGGCGGAACCGGCAACACGACCGAAACCGGAGATGACGTTAACCACACCGGCGGGGATGCCTGCCTCCTTGACCAGCTTGGCAGCATAGAGACCGGACAGAGGAGTCTGCTCGGCAGTCTTGAGGACAACAGTGTTACCGGTAGCGATGGCAGGACCGATCTTCCAGGACCACATCAGCAAGGGGAAGTTCCAGGGGATGATCTGTCCGCAGACACCGATGGGTTCGTGGCGAGTGTAGTTCAGGGTCTCAGAGTTGGTGTCGATGGTCTGACCATGGATCTTGTCGGCCCAGCCACCATAGTAGCGCAGGCAACCGGCAGCGGCAGCGATATCACCCTTGGCCATGGTGATAGACTTGCCATTGTCCAGGGCTTCGATGGCCACCAAGATCTCGGCATCACGCTCGAAAAGGTCGGCGAGCTTGGTCAGCATGCGGCCACGGGTGGAAGGAGTGACATGGCGCCATTCGCCCTCGAAGGCCTTGCGAGCAGCGGCAACGGCGGTGTCCACATCCTTCTCCGAGGCCTCATAGACGGAGACAATGGGCTTCTCGTTGGTGGGGTTGATGGTCTCGAAAGTCTTGCCATCGGCACCCTTGACGAATTCGCCGTCAATAAACCTGTAAAGTAAACAGTGGGGTTAACCCTCTACCCAAAGCAATATCAAGGGGATGGAACGCGGGGTTGACATACAAGCCCAGAGGCTGTTCATACTTGACGCCGTTAGGGGTCGTGATGGTAGCGTAGAGGTCAGACATGATGAGAGATGGGGAGAGGAGATGTGGTTAGAGAAGAAAGAGAGAGGGAAGAGAAGAAGAGAGGAGAGCGGGGGGAGGGGAGAACTATCAATTAATAAAGGAGACAGAAAGTTGAGTTACTAGTGGTGGGGTAGGTAGGAGTGGGTGGGGGCAGACAGAAAGTGAGAGAGAAGTGATTGATGACTGATGTGGTTGAAGGGAGGGGAAGCTGGCGAGGCGCGAGGGGGAAACGCCAGCGGAGATCATCCTCGTCCAGCTGGACTGGTCTAGTCGAATCCATGGAAGGAATTCCGGGTCTCATCCATTGCCATTTACCTCATCTGAATCTCTCCGCGGATAGCCACCCCCTCTTCTGCATGCTCCGATTGGAGAGACCAAGCTCCTTGAGACCGAAACCCACAGCGAGTTAACCTACTTACTCCCGAGACCCCTATAGTAACCATCATATTATTATATCGCGGTAAAGCATAATAAGACCAGGGCAAAGAAGGGAACCTGAAAAGTCGGGATTCCCACATGCCAGCCCGTTTCTCCACTCTTTTATCCAACAATCGCCAGCGATCGTGCGGGGTTTCGTTATCCTATGGCTTTTTCTGGACACCACCACCACCATCCAGGTCCCCCCCATTTGGTGTCAGCCAGTTACTTGGTAGTATGTAGTTATTCAGTTCTTCAAGAGACCCTGTGGCGTTGGTTGTGGCAGGGGATGGTTATCGCTAGTCTTGGTTTGACATGGTTACATCTAGTTTCCTCTTACATCATACCGAAGAAGAATGAAGGACCTTTTGGCGGAACGGGAGAATAAGAGGCTAGTAGCTAGGCAACCGGTTAGTGAGTTCATCAATCATCTCCTTCTTGTAACTCACTTGGGAAATATTACTCACAGCTATGGAGCAATGGAGCAAGCTCTTTTTCGTATTTCCGGAACCCCTCCACCTCGGTGTGAGTGGCGGGGAACCAAGTGGGATCTAGTCTCTTGAGCTAGTTTGTTGACCTGCAAGCTGCCACATTTTAGTCAGCCAGTCAGGTTTGTTCCTTCCAAGTACATCTCGTACTTGGATAGTAGTAGTTCACGCATTTGTTGAAACATCCCTGTATAGTCCAATTGAACCCTGACCAGTGAGATCTCACAAACTTACTCCTCAAACTCTCAAAGTAAAATGAACAAACAGAAAAAAGAGGGGAATGCGACAAAAAGCTGAGAGATCCCGAGGCATTAGTCTGATTAGTCTCAAGCAAAGTGACCCATCCACTAGCGCCAAGTCACTAGCGGGTTACCGTTGAGGTTTAGCCACAATGACACCTTCGCCTGCTGTTGCTTGCGACGGGCGGGAGTTTAGCCCGATCTGGTAAGGATTCAAACCTGGGGGTTGGTCGGCTGATACGCGGGACCGTTTACTACTGGGCAGCGATCTAAGACCTCCTTGCCCCGTCTCGGGCGAGTTGTTACAAGTTACAACCCCTCCCCAAGGTACCGACCTCAACGCATATTTCCGCTGCCTATAGACGACTTGGGTTGAGTGTTCAGCCCAGAAACTGCTCCCCCATCCATGTCAATTAATTCAGAGAACTTTCCGTTGTTCACTCTGACCAAGTCTCTATCTGAAACGGCAAGATCTATGGAGATCCCGCTACCATGGCAATGCGTGATCTAGTCTAGTGTACTTTTATCATGATCAAATCACCAAATCCCGGCCCAATCAAGTAGATAACAACTAGGAAACTGTTCGATAGAATCTTGTCTTCTCTCAAGGGATTAGTTGCCTGCAGCCTAGTCTA